AGCACATGAATCTTACTGTTCAATCACCCACTTCCCACACGCAACAATAGCTCATGGGTACCACAGATAACTTTGCCAAAGTTCTCTGCCAAAGTTGAGCACGTGAAGCTTGCAGCTCCCACTACATCGCTCTGACCAAGAAAGGTAAAAGAATAGCAAAGAAACAGCACTAACAAAAGTTTAGACACATAAATTTTGAAGGTCTAGCTACCATATTATTACCCACAAGGGTAAAGGAACAGTACCACTGCTGGATAATTGGAAAGTCCCTGTGTGTCAACCTCTGTGCTTCGTGGCAAGGTAGACTAGCAAACATGCCCAACCTTTACTCACATTCGAGAAAACACTCCCAACAAGATTGCTTGCTCCAAAATCGAAGAGGCACCGTCCTCCGAATCTCGAGAGCCAGACTCCCAACATGACTACTTTCTCAAAATCGAAGAGAGGGTAAAGGAACAGTACCATTGCTGGATAATTGGAAAGTCCCTGTGTGTCAACCTTTGTGCTTCGTGGCAAGGTAGACTAGCAAACATGCCCAACCTTTACTCACATTCGAGACAACACTCCCAACAAGATTGCTTGCTCCAAAATCGAAGAGGCACCGCCCTCCGAATCTCGAGAGCCAGACTCCCAACATGATTACTTCCTCAAAAATCGAAGAGACACTGCTCTCCGAATCTCGAGAGCCAGACCCCCAGCATGATTGCTTTCTCAAAAATCGAAGAGGCATCGTTCTCCGAATCTCGAGAGCCAGATACCACAGACCACTTTTTCAAAGTGCTCTGACAGAGTTAAAACATGTGAAACTGGCAGCTCCCACTACCGTGCTATGACCAAGCAGGGTAAAGGAATAGCATTACTACTTGTTGTTAGGGAGACTCCTATATATGTCGACCTCCATCCCCAACGGACAGGCAGACCTGCAAAAATGCTCAACCCTTCATCATATCTGAGAGGGCACTCCCAACGAAGCCTTTCGAAATATTCAGCTTTCTTTCCCCCCGATAATACCTCTGCAAACAAGCTATACTAGAGCAAGAATATCTCATATCATCAGGGTTAAAAGCAAGAGTATCCCATATCATGCTTTTTCCCTGTCTTTTCCTTTGGCCTTGTTTTTACCTGCAAGACAAGGAGAAAGAGAGCAATCAGTCAGCACTTGGAATCAAGCTTCCAGCCAGGAACTGACTGCCTGGAACCCCTTACCTGATTACTTACCTGGCATTGCTCTCGAGTACTCATCTTCAACATCTTATGTTTCCAGGGAAGATTCCGCATCTGCTTGAGGAACAGATAGGGCAAGTGCGAAGGATACAAGGAAGCATGTGGAGACAAGCGTAACAGCACACGTGCCGATACATCCATTACTCTGTCAAAAGCAAAAGTATCCCATATCAGCAGGGTGGAACGTACTCTAGATTTGATGGACTTGTTTTGACCCTCAAATTCTTCAGTCGGCCTTATACTCTGGAGGAAACCAGAAAACCCTCCAGCTCAGTTCAAGAATAAGCCTGTGGAAAGTTACTTCTTCAAAAGCAAAAGTATCTCATATCATCTCTTCTCATTTTTCTTCTCTTTATCCTTCATGCTGCTGCAAGATGGGGAGAAGGTGAACAATCAGTCCGGAGCTCTGATTGCTTACCTTGTCTGTCACCTCTTTCAGCAGACCCCCTAGCTCGGCGACTTGGGGGACTCCTACTACATGGTTTGTATCGCGCTTGACCAAGCCTGAAACTACAAGTAAGCTTCAAGTGAAATTGATACATTACCTTGTGCATCTCCACCAGTTAAAGATACCACCCCTGGATGGAGGAAGAGTACTTCCAGAGAAGATGCCACATCTACCTATGAGACAGATAAGGCAAGTCAAGACGACACCACACTCCGATACTTAGAAGTTTCGTGATTACGAGATCATTCTCCCACAATATTTCCTAATGTCATTTGTACTAAATCATTCACTTGTACTCACTAAAGGAGAGCTTGAACCTATGTACTTGTGTAAACCCTTCACAATTAATGAGAACTCTTCTATTCCGTGGACGTAGCCAATCTGGGTGAACCACGTACATCTTGTGTTTGCTTTCCTATCTCTATCCATTTATATACTTATCCACACTAATGACCGGAGCAATCTAGCGAAGATCACAAAAAGCGACCGTTTTCGCTACCTAGGATCTATCTTGCAAGAGAACGGAGAATTAGATGGAGATCTCAACCATAGAATACGAGCTGGATGGATGAAGTGTAAGAGTGCATCCGGCGTGTTGTGTGACCGTCGTAGGCCACTGAAGCTCAAGGGAAAATTTTATAGGACGGCAATAAGGCCAGCGATGTTGTATGGCACAGAATGTTGGGCGGTGAAGCATCAACACGTACACAAAATGGGTGTAGCGGAGATGAGGATGCTTCGTGGGATGTGTGGGCACACGAGAAAGGATAAGATTGGGAATGAGGATATCCGAGGTAAAGTAGGAGTAGCCGAAATTGTAGGAAAGATGAGAGAAAATCGGCTCTGGTGATTTGGACATGTGCAAAGAAGGCCGACTGACGCTCCGGTTCGAAGATGTGACTACGGGACAGAGGTTCAATGCCGAAGGGGTACAGGAAGACCTAGGAAAACTTTGGAAGAGACTCTAAGAAAAGACTTAGAGTACTTGGATCTAACGGAGGACATGACACAAAATCGAGCGCAATGGCGTTCTAGGATTCATATAGCCGACCCCATTTAGTGGGAAAAGGTTTTGTTGTTGTATTTGTTTTGGGTATTATTTTCTAAACCCAATTTGTAAGTTAAAATATGCTAAACCCAATGTGTTGCCAAACTTTAAGCTCAAAATATTAAAAAAATGCCTATAAAAACTCTAAACCCTAACCTATTATTTCTCCCCCATATAAGGTTACGGAACCAAACCTCCTCCTGAAGTACCTACATCCATCTCCATAGCACTGTCTACTTCTGCCCCAGCTTTCTTTTCCAAAACTACTCTCATATAACATGTAACAGAATCCATAAACATTTATTTCGGGTAGATTACTTGGGTAATTTGTTATGGAAAAGAATCCAACACATACTAAATAAATCCACCCACGCATTACTTTTACTAATCAAGTTGTCAACATGCAGTTACAAGCAAACAACCGTGATCTTTGAACAACATCGTATAATTTAACTTTTCTAAGTCATTTGTACAATTTTTATGTTGTGAGGTTGTTAGTTTGGACTTTGGAAGACTTGATTGATGATTTTAGTTCAACTTTAAATGTTTATTTTCATTGTCTTTGATTCTAGTTAGAATGCTTATGTTATGATTGTGTTGGATATGTTAAAATTTAAAATTTCAATGTTTTTCATTTTTTGAAAAAAAAAAAACAAAAAACCGAAACCGAACCGAAACCGAACCGGAAAAAACCGAACAAAAAAAAATGAACCAAACCGAACCGAACCGAAATTTCGGTTTGGTTTCGGTTTTGGCAAAAAACCGAACCGATTTAAACCGAACCCACCCCTACTGACACCTCTTCACCAGAGGACTGCTGTCGATGCTCAGAAAAGAGAACGATGCCTGCAAACCCTCTTTTGGCAGGAATTCGAGACTATCACTTTGTTATATGTAAAATGTACTCTTTTTTTTAATGTGAAATCTATTTATTTATTTATAAGGAACTTTAACGAAAAGTTCTTGTTCTCTTTAACGAAAAATCATATTTTTACACCAAAAAGTCAATCATGGTAGTATTCACTTTACCTGTTATTTTGTCCTTATAGTTAAAACTCAAAGTTTCCAAGTCATTTTCATTAGTTTTCCTTTATTTATAATGTATACATATTTTATAATAAAATGTACCCTTTTTCAATTTTTTTGAACATTATGGGTACATCTGTTTGACATTTATTATTTCAAAGTTATATTGTTACTTGTTTTTATCTATTTATTCAATTAAATTTTATGAGTATTTTCTTTTTATTGTAATCGTTTTTAATTTATATGGGATTTTAAATCCTATAACATGTTAAGTAGTTAATATCAAACATATGAAAATACATATTATTAGCAATAATGAGGTATACAAAGTCAATGAATGAATACCATTAAGATTTTTACCAAAAAATATTAATGACTAGAGTCTGGATCTAAAGTCTCCCTATAATTTATAAAAAATATTAAAAAATATTTACAGAAAAAAAAAACAAAAAAAAAAAAAAAAAAAAACCCAAAACGTATTTGCGCAAGTAACTCCAATTGCTAGGACCCTAAAGTGCAAACCACAAATCCAACTTTCAAGTATCAATCATGTCAAATGTCCCACCGAGCTACTCTTGGACATTCTTTTGCCAACAGAATCCTCGTCAGATTTTTTGGTGAGGATCTTGCAGATTTATGAATCGTGTTCGTTCATCGTATATCGTGTGATCAATGTCATAAACTATTTATGTTTAATTTTAAATAAATTTATTTAAAATGATTTATGACCTTATAATATACGATGAACGGCTCACAAAAAAGATTCCACGAGAATCCGGATACTTTCTTTTGCACTCCATATCCCAAGGATTTGATACCATGCATGTTTGTTTAGCAATCATCGTATACACCCAACTTTTTCTTTCTTTTTTAGCAACAACTATAACGAATGTGATATAAAAGCATGATGAATCATGAAAACGTTTTATTAGGACAAGTACGATATTCATTAGTACGAAAATTGTGTATATGTCGAAGGATAGGATGCATATCAATGGGCCTTAATAAAAATCTTGCTGGGAATTTCAACCCGATCGAAGGAAAAAGGAACGTCCTGTATCAATCAAATTACATAGTTGTGCTATCCTAAAAAGAAGAAGATATGAAATTACATCTGGAGGTTCCTCAAACCAAATATGTTGATGTTCTAATGTCAATCCCAATTTTGCTAATCTACGAGCCACTTTATTTGCCTCCCTGCAAGAATAAGAAAGTTTCGTGTGGGGATAGAACACATAAAAAAGCGGGCACCTTTCACAACGTGCCCCACTGAAGAAGGATCATCAGCCTCCTCCTCGCCCGTACTTGCTTGCCAGCTAAGCAAACAATTAATGCATCAACAACCAGTTTCCAGAATGGATGGCCATAAGGCTCTATTCTAACAGCCTCACATATGTCCTTAAAAGTGCCACTTTTCCCAGTTTATATTAAACGAAACTCCTACTGATTAGAATTTGTACATGAAGCACTACCTTGGTTCAGAGTTGTTATCAAGAAAATTTCTATCATATGCTGCCTGCTCCAACCATCCTTCACCAGAAGTAAGCTACGCCGTATCATCAATTTCTCCAAAACATCTTCTTCTAGAACAGTTAATGAATCAGATGGTTGCCTCCGTGATGGATGACCCTGCAGTATCCAGATAATAATAATCAATTATTATTCAACCACAAATAAAGTAACAGTTTGTTAGTCACTCAAAATAGAAATAGCACGTTAGATCTCCCCAATTTACACAGAGTGAACTTGAACTTAGTTAAAACTAGGAAATAAACCCGCACGTTGTTGCGGGAATCAACTGTTTCAGGCGTAACTGCATGAAGAAGACACATTTCAAGCGTAACTGCATGAATAAGACACAAAGTCAGCAAGTAAAGCTCATATTCTTAACAGTGTTATTTTAACAACAATTTTGAGTCCTACTGCATTCTATGTCCAATAGGAATTTAATTGCTTTTCTATACCATGGAGTGGTGCCGAAAGATTATTTCTTGGAGTTACTGATGAAAGATCTGGAAAATACTCAGTGGTGTTTTTTGCAATAGGCGTGCAGCAACCAAAAGTAAGGTTATATTTCTATCTATTTAAATGGCTGCCATATTGTTGTTTTTATACATGTCTACGGCGGGATGGATGATGATTACAACACGTTTAAGTTGATGTCTTCTCATATTCGTGTAGAAGAATCATATTTGCAACATCGTTTGTCATTCTTGAAGAAAGAGGAAAATATTAGTTTTAAAAAAGGGAAAATTTAGTGCTCAGAGTTATATGTTGATGGGAACCACTGATGCAACAGGAACTCTAGAAAAGAATAAAGTTTGTGTTCTTCTATATGTACAATTTGTGGCATTTTTTTTAATCCCTCATGTTACACAATTAGTAGGATGAAAGTGAATGTTCAAGTACTTGTTTAAGTAGCTAACTTCCGAAGCAGAAATATTAAAAGCAAAAAATATGCAAAAAGGTTGTTCCCATAAGAAACTGAAGAAACAGAAACAACATGCAGTTAACACTTTGTTTGCTCCTGCAGTTAAGATGGTTAAATATATGTGTTGCAAGCTAGCCACTTGTTTTAGCATTAAGAAAAAACATTTCCGAAGCACAAATGTTAAAAGAAAAAAATATGCAAAAGGGTTGTTCCCATAAGAAACTGAAGAAACAGAAGCAATATGTAGTTGACAGTTCGTTTGCTTCCGCAGTTAAGATGGTTAAATATATGTCTTGCAAGCTAGCCACTTGTTTTAGCACTAACAAAAAACATTAAAAAGTGTTTCGTTCTTGTTCCAGCACCTAAGTTTTTAAGCACAAATTTTCAACCAAAAAAACATGTAGCACATCCTGTAGCACTCGATGATGAAGATTGTGGGTGTTCACTTTTTTTGAGATCGGACATCTTCCACACTATAGCAAAAAAACATAAATAATAATTTAGCAGACACTGCCATCATTGATATTATGTAGATGTGGGTGTGAAAAACAAATTATAATTTACCTATCTTTGGTTTTTTTGGCCTGAGTTTTTGTCTTGAGTGCGGCTATCGGTACTTTGTCGGCCGGTTCAATTTTGGGGACAACCAGATTGTGGAATTCTCTAGCAATTCTTGCAGAATTGGTTGTGTTTGTTTGCTGGGGGCGAGGTTTTTTGCTGTTAATGAAGGTAAATTTTATAAGGTTAAAGAGAAACATGATAGCCATGGAGAAGAGTGCGAAAGAGGTGCAAAAAGTTTTGTAGACAGTTTTTCATGATTGGCTAGATTTACACTGAAGAGAAGCAAGTATAGTTATTAAGATTGACACATGACAACATTTATTGTCAGAAAAACTTTACCTGTCAGGTTTGTCCGTTTGATCAGGGAACAATACTCTCTTTGAAGTTATGGCGGGTGCAACTGATTTGGGTTGTTGATCTGGTTGTTGGGAAGGTGTCAATGGGGCGGGGGTTGCTTGACTGGTAATTTGTTTGCCTAGACTGGTAGCGGGTGTTTGTGGTATGACTGAGGCAATTGTTGGGTTGGAGAGCGGTTGGTCTTCAACCAGTCCATTAACGATGAAGTCTGTTTTTGCAAAGTCGGTGTTTTGCTTTCCAAAAGAGAGTTGAAATGTTTTTGAGTTGCCGACCAAATTGTTAAGAATTGGTGGCACCACGAAAGGGTCCTCGTGTCCGTTCTCTATCACCAAAGTGTAGCAAGAAACGCCAAGCATCTTTTCGGGTTGCCTTCCTATCATGAGGAAGTTGTGTTGGTTCGTGTTATCTTCGACAATCAGATTGATCTTGAACCTGTGCAAGAGGAGGATATTTTGTGTTAGACAATCATACATTCTAAGCGAAAGTTGGTAACCAAAATGGAGAGGTCCTACAATATCCATTTCGTCACTGAACTTATTGAATTCAACATACCAGTTAACATTAAACTAAAGAAAGTATGCTACAATATTTAAAAGCGGTCATAAGACAATAGCTGAGAAAACAGCCATTCCTCCTAAGCGGTGTAAATTTTATTGACTTATTACATCAAAGCAGCATTCACGTATCATCATTATGGTTGTTTTGGAAACTCTTAAGTTTCTTCTTTAAAGGTGGGAAAAACACTATAGGTGTAGACTATCCTAAACACATTATAGCAGGAATATTTACGATAATGTCACTAATACACTCCCAAGGGTCAAACAGTAGTCAAAGTATAATGGAGATGGAAACCACTGTAAAGTTATTTGTATGCACGCATTTTAGATCATGAATCAAAGACCAACATATGCATGAGAGTGAATGCAAAAATATATGTTGGCTGAAGAAAGCTGTGTGCTCGTCACATGTTCTACCTTCTCGTCGCATAAAATATCATAGATATAAAAGCATTATTATGTGTGAATTTGATAATCATAAGAATTCCAAAAAGGACTCAACAACTTAATATAACCGTTAGACGTAAAATAGATGCAAAAGATTATTACCATGGTTCGGGTAATTTGTTTATCAAACCATGTTCGTTGCACTGAAATGATCCAAACATCTTCTTTACAACTTTATGGCAGGATGGGCAAGAGTTGTACCACCAACCTCTGGCCAAATCGAAGTCAACAACAGTCGCTTTGCATGTGAAACTTGCATTCTGTTATTGAAACATAGGTTTTAAAATGATCATCGACATTTAATCATCACCTTGGAAACATGGTGTATAAACGAATACACACTCTGTCATACTTTTAATATCTTGGTTATTGGAAGTTATCAACAACATATTTGTGGACTGCTTGTTCACTTTGATTGTTTCTCCTATTCATGTTAGTTATTATTCTAAAGCCTATGTTTACATAAATATTAAGCGTGATAACCATAAAGAAAAGGTATCTGATAGCTTAATGAACTTTACATGTTGCATTTGACTTTTCTTTTGAGATGTCTTAGGGGTATCATATATTCATTAATCATTTAAGCATCGCTTTGGAAACATGGAGTAAAAACGAATAGGCACTCTGTCATACTTTTAATATCCTGGGTATTGCACGTTGGCAACAGCATATTGGTGGACTGCTTGTTCAGTTTGATTGTACTTCTCATTCATGTTAGTTATTATTCTAAAGCCTATGCTTACATAAATATTAAGCATAATAACCATAAAGAAAAGGCATCTAATAGCTTAATGAATTTTACATCTTATATTTGACTTTCCTTTTGAGATATCTTAGGGATATCATATCTTCATTGATCTTGATATTAAATAATTGATTTCATTCCGGGGCATTATAATTGTTGGTGCGTTTTTTTTTGTAACAGTTTGAATTTTTTGTAACAGGTTGGTAATGAGAGACTAACCTTGTGCAACGTAGGATCAAGTAAAAGCAACTCGTCTATCGTTTTTGGTTCAGAATCAGCACCAATAACATGCCTTGTATACATGTCAGTTGAGCTGGGCAAGATCCGCATAGGTGATTTTAGATGCTCAAACCTATTTTTTGCATGGTTTGGGTGAGAAAGATTAAACTAAAAAATATAAATGCAAAAGTTCTTAAAGAAGGGTTGTTTATTTACCTGCGCTTGTATTCAGAGAGTTGTGGAATGTCCGGATTGAAAACATAAACGGTTGATCCTGTGCTTCCAAGAACAGGCTTTCCTATAGATAAAAAGAGAATAATGAACAAATTGAAACTTTAAGCAGCAGTTTAATAAAGCATGTCGGGGTATGACCTTGGTATTGTTTAACTTTGAGGCCTATCAAAGCAACAAACACGGGTGGCAATAACGATTGTATTCCATTGTCCTCAAAATTTGTCGCAGTCTCTCCCCATAAGGTGATCCTTACTGTTTCACCCCTGTAAATAATTAAGAAGGTGTCAGTCAGTTATACGTTACGTCTACGGTGTCATATGTGAAAATTGTAATCAAAGTTTAACGCATATAGAAATTACCTGATATTTTGGAGATTAAGATTTCTCTTCTTTGCAATTCTTGTGCGTTGGATGGTTACCTCTTCAATCGGCTGCACAGCAGCTGTCAAGCAACCAAATATATCTATAGACGATGTTCATTAGCGAGAATGAGTGTGCACCAAAGCCAACAAAAAAATTAAAATGATTCTCATATTTTGGAGTGGCGCTGAAGAGTAAATTTGTTACCTGTAAGTTCAACATCCCTATCGATTTTTTCGTAAAGCTGCTCAAGCTCAATTTAATTGAACCATTGCATCGGGATTTCCTGGCTTGTTTTGTCAATAGGAACGATTGTGGTTTTGCTATTCAATTCAATTATGGCAGCATGAGGGACAACCTTGCTTGATGTCCTGTTGTGAACAACACGAAATTTGTTGATTTCGTATGCTTCGCCAACCCTTAGATGGTTAAAAAAATATTGCATGTCTCGACTGTTCATGGTTGCATGAACCGCATCCCCCTTTCAGAAGAAGAAAAATAAAATCAGACAGTATACTAAATGAGCAGGAGAACATTTAACGCAAAAGGTTATGGAACCACGTAAGAAGTAAGCGTAGCATAGTGGTACCTACAGAGATAACATGTAAGATCATATGGAAGATAATAGAGAAGATTACTTTAAGAATGAAATTCGCAGCAATTGAAGCAACTTTGTAAATATATATTTAGTTTCATTTGTACAGGTAGGAAAAAAGAAGAAAATAAATTAAGGAAAAGAATAGTTGGTAGTTGATACTCAGCTTCGTTTGTTCAGTTAAAAAATCTTCCTCAAAAATAACAAAATATAATCTCTCTAGTGAAATATAAAGAGAGCCGAATTGTGTATGGTGCACCATGAATATTTTTGTTAATAATGCAATTTATTTTAAGCCATGCTATTATACGGAAAAAAATGGAATTTTGATTTGTTGTCCACCTGCATTAACTGGTTAAATGCAGCCTCTAAATGAATGTCGAGGGCTAACATTGAATCTAGCAAAACAATTCGCCAAATATTAATTATGCAGAAATGATGTATAATTGTGTAGAGGATTTGGTTCACGAACTTTAAGATAAGTTTGATCACAAAAGTGTGTTGTAATAATTGTGTGCACATTTTGATACACGAAAATAGTAGTGTTTGACGACAGGTTAAAAGGTGTAAGAATCTTACTTGTTTATCAACAAATACACAATCAAGACTTGTAGGTTGAGGATCATTTCCGATGCTCTTCGTGACCCATATCCTACAAACCCTGATCTGGAGTTTGTTTCCTGGTTGGTACGGCGTCAGAAAACTAATTGGCATCGCATCCATTAATCTAGCAAAAGATGAAAAATTTAGAAGCAAATTAAATTCAACATTGAATAGGGTGATTTATGAAAGAAATGGTGGAGCCATGTTTACAAACAAAAAAAATAACAAAGGGACAAAATGTGAACATAAACGTATACCTGTATGTAAATGTTTCAATACATCTTTATAAACAATGTTTTTTGTATAACCGTAAGGCATGTCACTATTGTGAGCAATAACAATTTTGAGACCCTTTTTTGAGGTGACCCTGGATAGCGTAACATAGAGTTGTCCATGAGAAAAAACAGTCTGCGATAGAAACAAACCAACCATTTTCAAGGATTGTCCTTGACTTTTGTTGATTGTCATTGCATAACAAATTTTTAGAGGGTATTGTCGTATTCGCACAGTAAAAGGATATTTATGCTGAGATGATTCAGTAATGATCCTGGGGATATAAACTCTTTCGCCAATGTTTCTTCCCGTCATGATTTTTGCTTGTACAACTTTGTCGTTCAATTGTGTTACAACCAATCGTGTTCCATTACACAGCCCTTGACTTTGATTTAAATTTCTGATCAACATCACTGGGGCACCAACTTTCAAAGACAACTTGTGGTGCGGCAAACCAGGTAAATCAAGTTGGTTTAGAAATTCTATTGGATAAAGCATATCTAAATTTTCAGAATTTTCTGTTGCAGAAGACACCGAATCAAAACTGAGATAAGTACGACTTTCGCCAGGTACTATACCCAACACAAAATCGTTGATTTCAGTTGCTGTATCATTTCGTGGCGTCACAATAGCTCTTTCTTTCAGATATGAGACATCTCGAAAATTTGCTTTGAAATTTGTATACACAGCTGAAACCATGGCTTTGATGGGATCGTCATCAAAATGGATAAGGAATTGGTTTGGAAATTCGACCCAAGAGCTTTCTTCATCAGCTGAAGATATAGATCTGGCAACAGTACCATTTCCAATATCTAGTATCCACTTTGCAAAATCAGCGAGTTCTTTTTTTTTCACTTCGTTCAGACCTGTTTTCGAAAGCCTCATGTTTTGCTTAAGGAAAAATATAGTTAAATAGGACCAAAGGTATGAACTCGTAAATGAAGCTTGGACGATGTCAGCAACACTTCCGCTTGGAACAACAGGAAGAATTTGCCTGAAATCACCTCCGAAAAGAATTGGTTTACCTCTAAATGGCAAATGGTCAAAGCCTGGTTTTGACCCTTTAAGAACATCACGAAGAGATCTATCTAGAGTTTCAAAACACCGTTTATGATTCATGGGGGCTTCATCCCAAACAATAAGAGTAGCGTCAGTGATTAGTTTTGCAAGATGAGTCCCTTTTTTAATTTCACAAACCGAACAATTAGTGATGTTGATAGGAATTTTAAATCTAAAGTGAGCCGTCCTTCCACCAGGAAGCAAGAGGGAGGCAATTCCAGATGAAGCCACAGCTAAAACAATTTGATTTTGGGATCTAATTCTAGTTATGATGGTGGTCCACAAAAAAGTCTTGCCTGTTCCACCATGACCATGCACAAAAAATAGGCCAGATCTATTGTTGTCAATCGTCTCCATGACGCTGTCATAAACTAATTTTTGCTCCTTGTTTAATTGGCCGATCAGGAGTGAGTGCTCTTGTTTTAGTGAGTTAGCATCATAATTTAACTCTTCTCTCAAACTCCTAGCTTTAAGTCTATCCATCATTAGATTATTTGGTTGTGGTAGGTGATGCTTTGATAGAGAACTATTTGAAGCTGTAAACAACTTTTCTAACTCGTACAAAAGCGAATTTCTAAGTTCATCCTGATATTTAGAAAGATCTTGTAGCCCAAAAGCGTTATGCATGTTCTTGGAAATGTCATCGCACATGGTTTTCCAATGTGCTTCAAACAAAGCTGATGGATCAGTGACATCACAAAAGAGCACCAACGTGACAAACAATTGCCTCAATTGGAAAGATGATGCAGTGATAACTGCTTTTAACATAGCGCTATTCCATTCCCTATCATCTCCCAATAAACCAAGGGACATGCATGCAGCTTGGAATGTGGGTTCAAGAACCTCTTTGACGGTTTTTAAATGGTCAAAACTAAAGATGCCTTTCTGGTAGTTTAGCAGCAACCTCAAATAGTATAATTCACCAGCAGCAGGGTGAACATACGCAACCCTACCTAAAGATCTGCCTTGTTTTCTACGGCTCCATTGTTTCTCATCATTTTTCCAAACATACTTCGTCGGAAATTCAACATAAGATAACTTACGTGCATCAGGATCTTGGACATTGGTTTCAAACCATTGCGTTAACATTGTTCTTTCGAGATTAGGGTGGTTGATAACATAGTTTAGATCATCGGTCTCTCTAAAAACAACGTTTTGGTCAGATGGAAGGTGTACAGACAATCTTTCAACCGATGGTTCCCTAAAATGAATGTGAAACAGTAACAATCTCCAAACAGCTTCGTAAGGGCATAAATATCTACAATTTAGATAAGCCACAACCTCATCAAACTTTTCATCCTCAAAAACAGCTCTAGCCCGATCAACACCTTTAGTTATGTACTTAAAAAGATACTTGATGAGTGTTGATTGGCAGCATGATTCAACATTTATATGCGCTTGATAATTCAATAATAGCTCACGATTATAAGGGACAACAAATGCGTTATCAAGCTTGATTCCTTTTTTTAGAACAAACAAATTTTCTATATCCCGACGCTTATATGCAACGAAACCATCATCAGAAAAAGTGGTTTCACTTGTGAAAGGTTTTGGAAATTTTTTTGAACATTTGTTTTCTTTCATGCATGGTGAAAATCGATTTGCAAGACCACATGGCCCATGAATCATGTATTGTGAAACTGCATCGTACCCAACTTTGTCAACATCTGCATCAGGAATCTCAACCGAAATGATAGAATCAACATCGTAGGGAGAATGACATTTATAATGTTTGTTCACCCAGACCAAGATATGACAATGAGGAAGACCCCGTTTTTGGAACTCCACCGTGTAAATCACTGTTTTTAAATAGAGAATGCAAAGACATCAAAACAAAACACTCTAGATATGTAATGATTAGATAGATAAACAAAGAAAGGGAAAATTTTGGCCAAGAGCGATTAACTAACCTGATTCGACATCGCCAAAAGATTTCCCTGATTTGATGAATTTAATCATATGGTTAAGCTTTGCTTTAAAAATTCGGGAGACTATATCAGGCCTGTCTTCAGGCCTACAACCAGGTTTATCACGTAGATCTTCAATAATTTCAGGCCATTTAGCATTGCAGGTGAAAGTGATAAATAAATCAGGATTTCCAAAGTGACGGCATATGGCCATCGCATCCTGATAATTATTTATCATATATCTAACGCTGCCAGTAAACAAAGTTGGCAAAATGACTCTCTTGCCAACACCAGAACTGCTTGTATTTCCTTCTTTGAGAGCTTCATGAATTGCTTTAAGATTTTATGTTCTAAAAGAATCTTGATTTGTCCTAATAAAATCTAACCTATCTTCTTCAAGCGTGGCATATGCATCAACTAAATATTGTTGAAACAATCTACCACCTTTCAATAGGGTGTCATTTTGTCCTGGTCTATCCTGAATTTGATAACCTAGAAACGCTCTCAGTGATACTCCCCCAGTTTTTGGTTTTTTCCCTTTATAATCTGGATTCCAAGGAAGGCCTTTCTTATTCCCATCTTCACCGTAGGGGAAAAGAAGAGGATATTGTAGTGCCATGTACTTAGGATGTAACTTTGTGATTCTTTGTAGGCCATGCGTCCTATGCTCCACAATGATATCTCTTTCAGTGTGGAATTCGCCGATATCCCCAACAATCATCTCGTCACACGCCGGCAAATTATATTGTGCATCATGGTTAGCCTGTGCACCGTATAAACGCATACGTAAATGACTTGTGGACCCTTCATCAATCATATCTCTAGCGAGCCTAAAAAGCTTAACGACCTCATTACAGTCGTCTAGCATTTTAATGAGGCTATCAACAACATGATGGTCGAGTTTTTCAACCGTTTCTGATCCACTAAAACAACCAATACGATTACTGACTTCATTTTGAGTATCATGAATGTATAGTTGTGCAAATTTAGGATTTTCGCCCTCCAGAGGCAATAAAGAACCCATCAAATGATGCACTTGACTATTAATTTTAAAAACATAAGGACCCCGACCCTTGTTGATTGATGCATCGACTTTGGCTCCCATTGATGTTAATACCATCATTGAATTATACGATCTAATATTTGTTTTAAATTGCAAGCTGTTTCGAGAATTTTTGGGATTCAACAAATCATCCAAATATGGAGGGGTGGGTTTAACGCGTGGGAATTTTACTTTTTGACTCATGCAACACGTGGTGAACTGCAAGGTATAAGATGAAGCATTCTTGGCGGACTGTTCTGTAGACCAAAACAGAGCACCGCAATATTGACATTGACAATTTCTTAAGCCAAAATCAACATATTCTGGATCAATCCCTATAAAAACAAAGATTAACAGAAGCATTCATCAAATCGACAACCTTAAGTTAACTGATGGAGGAAACTTAACTTTTGAAATTAGTAAGAATGAGAATAGAGTTATGTTGAAAGATTGCGTACTTTTTCTTTTTTTTTGATAGTTGGCTTGTCCGGTTATCAGCGGGTTCAAGCCAGAATGATTGGTTTGAGCATGAATGGCTAACAAACTGTGCTCATTGGCACGATCAGCAAGGAAAACCGGTACAGAAATCTGATGAGAACTTGTCCCAGGTTCGAAATGTGGGTTAAAAACACCACGCATGGGAATATTTTGTTTTAAAGCTGATGCAAATGTTTGGGGAGGGCTGTCTTGGTTGTTCAAAGATGTTGAAACATCATTATCTTGATCGTCGTAAGCGGTGGGAACATCTTGCAACTCTGAATTATTGAGATCACCATCCGCAACAACCGCATCCAAATAGGCACGTTGAATTTCAACGGCCCTTCTAGGTCGCCTTATTCGTTTAGACATAAAACTATACAAAGGGGAAAAAAACAGAAACAGTAGCGCACTCTTTAATAAAAGCAACACATCAACGAAAGAACCATCTAGACCAAATGAAATTAGCAGCGAGCTATAACCCATTAAAGCAAGAGGTGATTGAAAACACAAAACACATTCTAAACATAACAGTAAAAACACAATCATAATGAGATTAGATTAGAACAAAGAATAGAGAAACTTAATATGCGGCTGTCTTCTTGAACAGCATTGTTTCCCGTTGAAACGGTAAAAGGTATGAATAAAGCATGCAACGATTGCTAAAAAAATAGCGATAAAGAAGACCAACATAAAGATCAAACAACAAAGCAACCATAAGGTCTCAAAAGAGCAAACAGAAATGAAGAAGGTGATGTTCCTTAAAGGTGCAGAAATCTAACCGATATAGAGACGGGATTGTAGCTGGGCACAAATCCTACTGAGCAGTAATGCAAGTTTGCAACGATTAAAACAAAAGTTGTAGAACCTACAAAAAGGAAGAGAAAATATAAACGCATATATAATTGGAACGACGTATGTTTTAATACTTTAAAGAAATTACATGCATCAAAAGCCTTTAGGTTAGCAAAAGTTTTTAGGTTAGCAAAAAAAAAATGAATTGCCTGAAATAGAGACGATCAGGATTTAAAACGTTTAAATTTTGTCCTAGGTTGACTAATTAGATGCAAAAGTGAGACAGCATGAACAATTTAACACCGAGAAAGACCAACAATACTAAAGCACAATCGAGCTAATAATAAAAAAAGCATATAATGCAAAAGAATAACAACAGGGCAAAACACTTTTGGTTGATCTTACAACAGGCTAACGGGATAAGATAAATCACCAGATATTGCAACCATGACAAAGTCCGGAAGGCAAGATAATGGACTTTTGCTCTAGTTAAAAAAATATATTAGCATGTGTTACAAGCAATGTAATGTTGTGATGTAGTTTCATTCTTTTTCACAAAGCTCTCAATTTGGACTCTCTTATGAAATGTTGAGTTTGATACAAATTATTAATGATAGAAATACTCTAGCATGTTTTGAGTTTAAGCGCATCACTTAACGATGCCAGCTCATCTATAGATTGACTAATTGTAATTAGCTTCATGACGCAGTTTTTATATACTTACACGAATAAAAACTGACAAAGCATGTAAAATCAAATTGATAGTAAAAGAATTAGGTAAATCCATTCAACAACTACTAATCAAATTGTAAAAGTGAGATATGCGTTTTTCTAGGTTTAATAAAAGCACCAAAGTAAAAGGTTTTTATATGCGTTATGAGAAAAATTCATTACGGCACCAAAAATCGTTGATCAAAGCAAAGGCAAAAAAAGCAAGAGCCACACAATTGATGCTCTTCATCATCGTGGGGTAAAACTCTAGCTAAAGAACATGCCGCACCTACTTGGGGGATAGGCAAGGCAGGAGAAGATACCACTCCAGCATACGAACAAATACCGCTAGAGAAGATACCATATCTGTTTGGGGGAAAAGTGGAGAAGCCACCATTTTTGCCTGGGAGGCAAATAAAGCAAGTGAAAATGATACATCAGCCGTGGTGATTTTGAACAATATGCTCCAGGATCAAATGATTCAGGTGTTGAATCCTCGTAAATGTTGATATGAGATCCATAGGCATTTGAATAGAACACTAATGGGGCGGGTCGTGTGGAATTATGATGTGTTTGTAGTACTATTTACAAATACAATGACACTTATAGACGCTCCTCCGGTTATTTTTGAGTTCGTGTTGGTTTGTGTCCGTAGTGTGTAACGTATGCATTTATAGTTTAATCCATATATTTTCACATGCTGCTATATGCTCTGTTTTTAATAAAAAAATAAATTTTAAAGATGGAGACATGCAACGCGAAACCTACAATTAGATCTGGATCACAAAATGGCAAAAAAAAAAAAGGGAGTTTTTAATGAAAAGAGCTTGGTACTATTCATTCTTAACCATAAGGACATTTTATGTATGAAAAGTCTATAATAGATCAAACTCTTCTCTTTATTTACTCTTATGCCATTACATGCGGACCACAACGATGTTGACATTTCTGTCTGGAAATACATTATGATGCTATTCATCTTATGCTAATTTACAGCTAGTTCTTCAGGCTTCCATCATGTTGTCGATGTTATGCAGCTCTTCTTCTGACAAATTATTCCAATACTGTTCATCGCATTCTACTAGCTCTGCATCTCTTTCTCTATCTTCTTTCACCTTGTAATATATTTTCCGCTGTTTCTTCTTTGAAATTTTGGGCTTCCAATAAGCTGATGACTGATTCTTGTCTTGCTGTAAATATACATCTCTTCTTCTTCTGCTACTAGTACCATATCATACCTAAAATCTTCAAACTCATCTAAAGCAAACATTTGGATCCCTCTAAATTTTTAAAATATCTTTGTATGAAGGAGTCCACCTATGTGAGGAGATAGGGTTTAGTCTAAAGGACTCTTCATTGATCATGGCTATATGCCTAGCTTTCTCCTTATGCATGTGTACATACCAATCTGGAGGACTACTAATAAAACTTATGCAAATTTCTTTCCACCTTTCTAAATAGTCTCTGCTACTTTAATAAGCTTTTCAGGAAATGATTCTAGTTTGAGAAATACGGTTAATAAATATTTTATCGAGATAACCAAACTCTAATAGTAAGGCAGGGGTGACTTCTACCTCATTATGCTTTTTCTGATGCTCATAACTAAAATGCCATGATTTAAAATCTCTCATGTCAATCCTGGCCACAGCTACGCTAACTTCTGGTTTACAAATACAATTTCTCTGTACTATCACAAAGACATGGAGGATACATCTTTGTAATAATATCCATCCCTGGTTTTGGATCAAAGATGGACTGATACAAGGCGCATTGTTAATGTAATTGTAACTCTTTCATGGACTGTGATGCTCTGCTCAGGATCTCATTTTTGCATATCTGTTGGCATTATTCTTAGTTTTGCTTTTGAAATTTCTTCTAATAAAACATCGTCTAATATTAAGTCTGAAGATATATTTCTAAGAAAACTTTCATATTTTCTTGTTTTTCTTTGTCACTCAGAACCTGATGCCTGATCATTACTTTATGTTGCTCCATTTCAACGTCTTCTTCTAAGAGCTCAATCTTAATTTCTTCTATGGGTTCATTAGCCTCTTGTTCTATGAGTTCAATAACCTCTTTCCTTTATGCTGATCAATTTCTAAACCTATTTTTAATTCTCTTTTCAAGGTGTCACTTGCTTTTGCTGCATTCTAAGAGATTTGGAGTTCTTGGTTCATTTTGGTAAACTTACCAGTAATGACTCATGGTCCCTAGAAATGGCTTGAAGATTGTGCTCAAGAGAATAAATATGCTGCTGGTTTTGGTGGAAATTAAAATTAAAGCTATCAAACTCTTGTTCCAAGGCTCTAATTAAATTTTTCATGGCCTAAACCTCATACTTGGCTGCTTAATTTGGATATTTCCAGAAATTATCTAAGAGAACCTGCTGCCTATCAGAAAGCCCCGGTACCCTTGACCTGTATCTCAGAGTTGGATTTTCTGATTCCTTCAACAATATTGCCATTAAAGTTGAACGTGGGTACTGTGGTGATGCTGGTCTGCTCATGCTATTTTGAAATCTACTGAATGGTGGAGGTTGATGGTGCATCATCATGCCATTGAAAGAAACTCTTCTGCTTGCGGCCTTGTGCTATTTGCTGATGATGGTCCACGATATTCCATACCTGTTCAACAAATTAATCTTGATAAGATATCAGCTAATGTATTGTCATTACCTTTTATATGTTCAAAAGATTGGTTTAAAACCATTCCTGTAATTGAATCAACAAAATTAACCCATCTTCGAGCTGCTGTTTATTAGCATGTATCTTGTTATATGAGAAACTATATTTTGACAATCTGTTCTAATCGTAAATACTCATTATGTAAAAATAAAGAAAATGTTTCAAGTGAATTAATTATCCCTAAAATTTTCTAAATCTGTTGATGGTAATCTTGATGTACATCACTAAACTTTCCTGAGGATATCTACAAACTTGTTCGTCAGACTTTGGAGACTCCCTATGCTTTTTCTGGTATATATACCTGCCCATCCTAATGATGAAGCATCTGTTTCGACTATCTTATAACTATCATCTTAATGTAATGTTAATGGCTTAAGTTTAGTAATTTCTTATTTATTTTCTGAACTAATTTAATATCTTCACTATTAAAATATTTTTGTCCCGTTTTGCTAGTTTTACTATGTAATACTGCTATTTTTCTTCCTAAATCAGGGATAAAATTTCTTTGCATAATTTAGCAATCCTAAAAATGCTTGTAACTGTTTCTTATCTTCTAATTTGTTTGGAAATTTCTAATACCTTTTTAGCTATATGATATTGTAATTGTATCGTACCTGACTTGATATACATTCCTAAAAATTCTATATCTTGCTTTTCTAATGCTATTTTATTTTTGCTAATCACAATCCCATTATTAATAAATTCTTGTAAAACTATCTCTAAATGCTTCCTATGTTCATTTCGATTTTTTACTATGTATTAAAATATCATCTACATAAACACTACAAAAATTATCATATTTCTTGAAAATTTTGATCCATCTTTCTTTGAAAGATCGATGGAGCATTTTTAAGTCCAAATGACATAACAAGCCACTCAAAATGTCCTTCTGGACAAGTAAAAGCTGTCCACCCAATTGATTCTTCTGCTAATCGTATTTGCCAAAATCCTGATTTACAATCAAATTTACTAAAATTTTACTTTGTTGAATTTTATTTATAAGTTTCATCTTTATTTGGTAACTTATAACTATCTTCATATGTATTATCATTTAATCTCTTATAATTATAAACTATTCTAGCCTTTTCTCTTTTTAGCTCTGAATGTTTTCTTACTACAAATGCTGCTGATCTGTGTCTGGACTTAGAGGGTCTAATTACTTTTAAATTTAACAACTCTTTTATTTGCTGCTCAAACTCTTGTATCTATTAGACTACAAGGCATATCAGCCGTCTTAATGGTTAAATCTGGGTTAATTATATCTAATTTTGCTAGTATTTTATTTTTACTCCAAGT